ATATATATATATATATATATATATATATATATATATATATATTGATGAGGGTGAAAGGAGTTTCTCTCAGCTTTGGTTAGCAATATTTTTAGCGTTGGATTAACGATAAAAAGACTTCAGATGGGAGGGAAAACTCGTGACAGCTTAACCCGGTCATTATATTGCATAAGTAGCGTGTACTGGCTGATATTGACTGTGATCCGGAGAAGTTAAACTCCGCGATAATAACGCATGAGGATTGTCGTTCGGAGTTTCCGTGGCAAGTTTTTTGCACCGTTACTTTTTTTTATCGACAGATTTAAAAGGTGTGGATGGTCCAACACAATCCTTCGCCACTTGAAACAAATCATTGTGTTGGTTTTCTGACAACTACATCTAATTAGTTCCACACATATCCGGCGACTGCGAAAAACTCTACGAAACAACATCAACTTCATCTTGGCACTTGGAATGTACGAAGTCTCCTTGACAACAACTCAGCACCAGAAAGAAAAAAACAGCTCTGGTCGCATTGGAGCTAAAGAAGTACAACAACTGGACTCAGTCGACTACATGAAACGAGAAATCAAAGTAAACATCAGTCGACTTGGATACAATGCATTCTCCAGTACATGCAAACGAGAAATCAAAATAAAACATCTAACAGTGTTCCTCGACGGGACAATCTATCTGCATTTAGTGGATACAATGCATTTCTCCTTGATATATATATACAGTTTAAATAAAAAGAAAGTAAGATATTTGTTCTTATAGCATTTTATTGTGCCGGTCTCAAAGTCATGTCTGATTTAAAATAGGCATGCAGATAATTATGTTTCAAAAATAAGCTAAAACCCCTAATTTTATTTTTGCAAATAAATTAAGCATTAGTTCTCATTTCATCTTCAAGGTAATTTCAGTGGTAACTTTTAAAATTTACCGGGTTTAAATCAGCTAAAACGTCGAACTCGACACGGGTGGACAATCTATCATATACATTTTTAGTGAGGGATACTAAATGCGCATTTTTTTAAGAATGTTACACTTGATTATATATATATATATATATATATATATATATATATATATAACTTTTTCTTTGGATCCTAAATACGCATGTCAATGTCCATTAATTTTATTATCTATATATATATATATATATATATATATATATATATATATATATATATATATATATTGTGTGTGTGTGTGTGTGTCAGATTTAGTAAAAAAAAAAAAAAAAAAAAAAAAAAAATGTAACCTCATATATATAAATATAAAGTTTACTAAAAATATATATATGTATAATATCTAAATTATTTATATATTTATATACTTTGATAGGGACTTACTTAGTAATTATCCTTCTGTTATAAAGTAATATAGTCTCTAACAATGAAAATATTTTAAAATTTTAAAGTTATAATTTTAAAATGTGTAGTAAAATATATATATTGAACAATAAAAATATTAAAAAATTGAGAAAAAATTAAAGCCATTTTTCAAAAAAAAAAAAAAAAAAAATTTACATATACTTTGATATGGAAAAAAATAACACTGGGATGTATGAATTAAATTTCTTTTTTTTGAATCCAAAAAATAACACCTATTTTATTTCAATTATGTTCCTCGACTAGTTTCATAGGCAATCCTACATAATATAATGGATTCTAATACATTTAATGTTCTTAAAAAGAATATACCATAAAAATTAAAAAGGAAAATATTTCAAAGGAGAAAAAAAATTCTTTAATTTTAAAAGATGACGTTGAAAATTTTTTACCGTTAACAAGTCCGTAGCAGTGAACTACAAGAAAATCTAGACACCCCCGTGTTCAAGGTGATTTTAGCTGTGTATTTAAAACATTTGAAGATGAAATAGAACTGCTTTTAATTTATTTGTTGAAACATGATTTTAATTATTATATATATATATGAAGGATCCTAAAACGCATGTCAATGTCCACTTGATATCTATATATATATATATATATATGTATATATACTAAGATATATAGGGGTTGTGTGTGTGAAAATGTATATAAATATAAATAAATATAGCGTAATCAAATATGAAGAAAATATTAAATATTATTAACGATAACAATGTTCCTCGAGAGTTACAAGAGAGACACAAGACATGATTTTAATTGTGAAGGGGAATATATCGAGGGGTTACTGAGCGTAACAATTGAAAAAGTAAATATTTTAAAATAATTTAAGAAGACGGAATATATCGATTGACATTGCATTTAAATTTTTGAAGATCAAATTTGACTGGAAGGCAAGAAACCAAAAATAGTTCTACAGGAGAGAAGTGCGAGAGAAGAAACTGTCAGCATAGAACTTACGATTGCCTATAGCCATTTCAACTGTAAGACGATTAAACCTTTGCCGCTAATCTCGTAATGCGCTTAAATTCATAAATCCTCGGTACTATAGAGTAAAGTTCATCAAACAATTACCATGAATGCATTTTGTAGTTAAGGCGGTTGGAAATATGTAGATTATATATCATACTTATTATAAAACCCAGGTTGTGTGTGTGTCTGTTCGTTTATATATTGGATCAGATTTCCTACATTTTTCAACCGATTTCAACAAAACTTAACAGGACTACGTAAAATTACCTTGCGGTGGTTCTGACAGCGCCAAAAAATTGGAAAAACACAATTGTTTTTGCACAAAATCAATTTGAAAACACGATTAAGAGGCATCGCTGTCGTGAGGATGAAAGGGGGACAACTCATATCGAGTTAGACTTATTATAAAACCCAGGTTTGTTTGTGTTTGTGTGTGTTTGTGTGTTCGTTTATATATGGGATTGGATTTCCTACACTTTTCAACCGATTTCAACAAAACTTTACTTTTTTTGGCAGGTAGTGTTTCTTATTGTCTTGCACACTTTTTTCTTTATTTTTACATTCAGAATGCTTTAAAAATTCCATTTACAAGACAATTGTTTATAATAAAATTCTATTCAATCGGTAGACTCATAACGATTGAAAACAATGTTTTTGTTTGAGTTTGGGTTTGACCAATTCGTAAAAAAAAAAACAAAAAAAAAACTAATTAAGACATGCGTGTCCGTCAACCTTAAACAACAATCTTTGTCAATTTTATTTTTCAGACTTTATGATGGTCGATACTTGATCTATCTCTTACTATTACATCCCCGGGCAACGCCGGGCTCTACTGCTAGTATTATATATGTGGATCATTATATAATGATTATTTGTATTGTGGTATGTTTGGCATCTCAGCTGAATTATTATTATAGCATTATTATTATTATTATTATTATTATTATTATTATTATAGATGTTTTATTTTAACTGTATTATTATTATGCATTATTATAGTTGTATGTATTATGTATTATTATAGCTGCATCATTATATACTATTATTTGTCATAGCTGTATTATTATAGCAGTTTTATAATTATTAGGATTATCACTATAGCTGCATTATTATTATTATCCATTATTATAGATGTTTTATTATAGATTATTACAACTGTATTATTATTGTTACGTATTATTATAGCTGTATCATTATATATTATTATGTGTCATAGTTGTATTATTATTGACACACCCTGGCTACTAACTTGTGTCCATTGGGTTTTTTGGTCTTTGTTTCTGTTTCTGTAGTGTTTTGTTAGCCAACCCAGGGATTGAACTTACAATCGTTGACCGTTAGATGAGAGTAACACAATATATAACCAAGTCTTATATTTACTAAGCCACATTTTAGAAGGACATATTCTTGTGTTTTTGGATTCTTTTATATTTAATGTCAAATTGTTCGACATTTGGATATCATGGTGGGTTGGTACTGCTTTTTATAATTTTACATTTTAATGAATGTTTCAATTATTTAATTAAGTAATTTCGGTAATTTTCTGGAGACACTATGGCTAAAATATATTGGAAAATAGAGAAATCTTTTCAGTAAAGTTTTTCGTATTTGTCTTCTGATAAAAATACAGCTTGTAGTTCAGCTAAGAAAAAAATGTTTTTCGACAGGTACCGATTCTGCTTCGTCTTTGTCGTTCCTTGAAAAACATTTTTTCTCTCCCATAATCTCCTTATATGTCTCTATAAGTCGGTGAACCTTGAGATACTGGAAGGCGGGAAGAGACGCGCTGAGCGAGCAGACGAATTCGCTTTTACTTTTAGAAAGAGAAAGATGGCGGAAGAGTGTTTGAGAAAATGCCAGGAAGGAGATCCACGGTCTATGGTCTGGAGCCCTTGCTGTTCGTCTCAACGTCCTCGACAAAATCTATAGACGGATATGCAATGTGGTTAATCCTGATCTGGCATCTCGTTTACAGTCACTTTCTCACAGCCGTGCCGTCACTTCTACAAGTACTTTCACGGTAACTGCTCCGATGAGCTACTTTCGTTGTTTCCCAAACTGCACGAATTTAAGCGTGCTACTAAGTTGGCATTCTCCGTCCCACCATTTCACTGTTAAAACGGTTAAATGTAGCCGTCTCTTCTACTCCAGTAGTTTCATGTCTCGCACTTTCCGTGTGCGGAACTCACTCTTACTTGCTTCCCTGATAGCTATAATATTCAATTATTCAAATACAATGTCAATCGAAATCTTCAGATACCTTGATCGAATTCCCCATCCTTCCCTTCATCCTTTGCTCTATCACTCCTCTTTATATTTGCTCCCACTCTCTGTTACCCCTTGCGTGCTAGTGGCACTCCTGCCTTGCTTGGGGCGAAATTCTTAAAAAAAGTCACATGGGGTGTTTTGTTACCCCCAAATATTTAAAGTACTTGTTGGCAAGTTGTGTCTTTTGCTCCCTCCAGTTACTCTCCTGAGAATGTGTAGCACGCAGGGTGGCGCAATTTTAGCTCACTTGTCGTGGTTACGCAGGCGTCGTTTTGTCTTTTTAGGGGTATCCTGTCACCCGACTAAGATAAGTTTTCATGATTTATATATATATATATATATAATTCCAATTCCGAACCGCTGTCTATTACACGACTCGCACAATCAAGCTAACAGCGCCTGGGATTCTCAAGCGGTCCCCCATCTTAGTACTGACCAAGTTCGACGTTGTTAACTTCGGTGATCGTACGGCAACTGGTGTTTCAACGTGATGTGTCTATAAGCCTGTGGAAAAGGGCTGTATGGTGGAGTATAAGACATCCTCCTATAAACCGCGTAAATGATTTTGATCTCTATCAAGGATGGAAATTGAGGATTGTGTAGCTTCAGGCCAGACGTGGTAGCAATACTCCAATTTTGGTCTAATCTGACTCTTGCAAAGATAAGCTTGACATAGCATGGTACTGATGCAAATGGAAGATGCACATATAATCATACGATATACCTTTTAACCCTGCACTAGTCACATGGGGTGATTTGTTACCCCCAAACGTTTAAAGTACTCGTAATTCCTAGTTGTATAGTTGTTTCTTTCATTCCCTCCCCCTACTCTCCTGACTCAGTGTCATTGTATAGTATGCAGGATGACGAAGTTGTAGCTCAGTTGCCATAGGGGGGGGCAGATGCCGGGGGACTATCCATTTTTGAAAATCTGAGGTGACTAACACAGGTTTAACGACATAAATTGATGAGGCAATGTATATGTCAGTCTTCTTATGGGGGCGGTTCTACCAACCTTGATGTATACTAAGCTTACTTTCATATACTACAAAGGCTCCTTATACACACAGACACACATACATCAATAAAACTGTAACATAATTATGAAAAAAGTATTTTTTGCTTCCCTGATAGCTATAAACTTCAATTATTCAATTATTGATTAAACCAACGCCTGAGCCGACCAAGCATAGAAATAAATACAATATGGGAACCAGTAATAAGGAGTGCCAGAGAAAAGCAATGATAACAACAAAAGTTGCAATATGAGCTCTGGTAAAAATAATGAAATGTTAAAAGCAAAATTGCAATATGAGCACTGGTAAAAATGATTGCTGAGGACATTAGAAATTCATACCCAGATGTCCTCAAGTGGCACAGTGGATAAAGGCGTTGGCTAGATCCAGTGACTAGACCCAAAGAGTGTGAGTACAATACCCGGCAGTGGAGAACTTTCAGAGGGAAATTAGCAGGAGATAACTGACATCCATTAAACATGGCACGTGGAACTAGAACAGTCTACCACAGTGAGCGAAATAAAGGGTTCAGTTCGAAATTCCAACCACCTGAAGAAGGCCGGAGCGTACAACGGCCGAAACGTTGTGATAAATAGTCCGAATAATGTACATAATACCTCATCTCAGAAATATAGACAGACAATACAAACGTTCTCAGTGTTGTTTTGTTTTTACCTTAATCGTTGGTGGCTTTTCTTTGGTAAATTAATCATAACGCACGTACCTTTACCAAAGTTAAGCAATATTGAGTCTAGTCAGTTCCTAGATGGGTGACAACCTGGGAATACCAGGTGCTATAAGCTTGAATATGCATGAGGGGTAATGGATAACGCCTCAAAATTGTTAATCGGACAGTCGAGTTCAAATTTCCGTTGGGTTCGTTATACTAACTTTAAGGCAAATACCTTTAGGAACGGTGTGTATCCTCCTCTTCTCCCCCAGATGTGGGTTAATTAGTAAAAGTTGTATCACTATGTTGTATCCTTAAAGAAGGTTACAAACAGACAAAAGGTGGTATTCACATGAAAGGAACAGCAAGACGGGCGTAGATGGAAGAAAGAGAGGTTTATTGTAAAAGAGAATACACTACTGAAAGATAGGGAATCGGTTATCAGGCTAGTAATTCCCGAAGGAAGGATATCTACCAACCACCCAACGCGGTCAGATGTGGCACAAGGCCGAATTTAATGTGGGCTATCCGAGCCCGTAGGCTCGGCCAAAAATTGCCCGTATAAAACGGGGTCGGGTAGCTGTTTCCCCGAGACGAGGCTTTGACCTTCGACATAGTCTCGTCTGGGGATCGTCTCTGCCCAGAGAGCTTGACCAGCACAGCTGGAGACGAATCTCCAACTCTAGATTAATTCCCGAGACAAGGATATTTACCTTATCTACCCCGTGAGCCAGGATGTGGCACAAGGGCGTTTTTTAATGCGGGAAAAAACCGAACCCGTAGGATCGGGAAAATTTTCCGTAGACCCGGTATACACGGAGTAGGGGTAGCTGCCTACAACCCCAGATAAGACTCTGCACTTCGGCGTGGTCTCGTCTGGGTTTCACTCTGCCCGAAGGCAGAGATTTCGACCAATACAGCTGGAGACGAATCTCCAATTAATTGCCAAAGCAAGGATATTTACTAACCGCCCCAGGCGGTCAGATGTGGCACAAGGCCGAATATAACGTGGAGTATCCGAGCCTGTAGGCTCGGGCAAAATTTCCCTGTAGACCCCGTATATACGGGGTTGGGTAGCTGTCTACCACCCCAGATGAGACTCTGCCCTTCGGCATAGCCTCGTCTGGGTACCACTCTGCCCGAAGGCAGAGAGTTCGACCAGCACAGCTGGACACGAATCTCCAGCTAATTGCTGAAGAAAGGTTATTTACATTTACTTCCTCGCGAGGTGGGATGTGGCACAAGGCCGTTTTTTTTTAATAGGAGCAAAACCAAGCCGGTAGACTCGGGCAAAAATTCCCTGTGGACCGCGTATACATGGAGTCAGGTAGCTGTCTATCACCCCAGACGAGGCTATGCCGAAGGGCAGAGACTCGTCTGGGTTCCACTCTGTCCGAAGTCGCCCACTATATCCTGTGCTCACTGTATATATCTACTGATATAGTCAGTCCACATAGGCGATAGGGAGTGTGGGATATTCCATTACAACACAGTAAATCATTATTATCTAAAAAAGTAAACATTTTTACGATCTAAAATATCTCCTGGCTTTAAATAACTTGTAAAGAATTGATAAGCCATAGAAAATGTTTGAATCAATCAAAACCTTATAATTGGCATTTATTTGTCCCCTTACGTCCATACAACAACCTGATTCAGTAACCCTGTAACTTGAGTTGCTCTTGGGCATTGTATTGGGTGACAAAAAACAAAACAAAATATATAGAGTTCTATTAAACTATGTATGAGAAATATCGAAAAATTTCAAGAATATATGTTCTTGTAGAATGAGAAGAAAACTATTTTCGGCAAAGAAACTACTGGAACTTTTGTTTGTGTCCCTGCACCACGAAATACTGTCGATATCAGTTATGAGTCAATTTTTTATGCATCTCCAATTTTTCCTGATCGATAGATCGATAACAAACTGATCAGTTCGGCTCACGTTCCGGTCCCTTACTTGTCATTCGTTGTCTCGTCTGCGACGAATTCGATTTTGTTTTCGAAAAGATTTGATTGCCTACTGTCGGCTGAAAAAGCGCAAAATTGATTGGAATGAAAGTAAGTACATTTTTAGTTTGTGTGGGAAGTGACTTATCCGACACTAAACCCGCACAGCTATCGTGATGTGAGATACAAACGAACACACCTGATGCCGTGTGACAGAGATAGAAACTATTTTGGATAAAGTTACTTTTTGTTCTGTGCATCAGATAAACAAAAAAAAAAAAGAAAAAAAAAAAAAAAGAAAAAAAGGCACTTTTTAAAACAAGCAACAGATTATAGCAATCAATATTGACAAAGTACCATGATTTTTTAAGCTAATAAAACACTAACTAAAAATCCCTCTACGTTTTCTAAATTGTCGATCATTTTTGTTTGAATTTCTGAAATAAGGAGTTATCATTTATTTACATTATTCACAATCGAACTAATATCTTCATCTTTGTTGTTATTATTACAGCTTTACAGTAGATCTAGCATAGAAATAAATAACATTCTGCTTCTTTGTGTGTCGTGTCATTTCAAGACGTGGGCGATCATGGCTCTCCACAATTTCCTGTCCTTTGCAGCGCTAAATAAATACTTTCTTTTCTTTATTTCGAAACCCTGCTCCACCATCCATTTTCTCAAGCTTGTCAAATATGTTATGCATTGTTTTCCTCTGCTCCTCTTGCCCTCACCCTGTCCTGTGAGTAACACATTTTCCAAGCCCTCAATCCTCATTATGCGCCCCAAATGTTTCTTCCAAGATATTAAGTGTAAGTTTTATTTTTGTTTTTATTTTCTCTAAAACATCGTCGTTCCGTTCATGGTATTCTCAACATCCTCCTGTAGAACCACATTTCTACGGGGGACATTAATAAAGAAAACGACAGCAGAAAGAGTCAAGGTTATAGAAAATCATCAGCAGCAAGAAAGAAAAGCAGCAACAGCAAAGGTACATTATTTCTAGTTCCATGATTATCTCTTGGGAAATATCCTAGTGGATGAAATCGGTGGTGTAGTCATCAGGGTTCAATTTCTGGGCTAGGTAGTAGAGCCACCGTAGGAGAACTAGCAATCATTGATCAACAGTAAAAAAAAGAAACAGACAGTATATCCCTAGAAATGGACAGCGAAACAAAACTGTACATTAAATAAAAGGTCCAGAAACCTGAAAAAGGGCACAATAGCCGAAACGTTGTGATAATAGCATTAGTCCGGATGTAAATAAAAACGACAATCGATCATCTTGAAGCTATAAACGTCAAAGACATACTGTTTGTTTGGAAATGCAAGAAATTCCAGCAAAGAAATATACTATATTTCTATACAAGTGTTTATTCAAAGTAGATAAGGCAATGAGAAACCACTCCATTATTTTTCCCAAGAAAACATAGCAATTCGGAGATAATAAAGAAAAGGAATCTGTGGAAAGTCATGATCACCTATGTTCTGAATACAAAACCATGGCGAAATCAATCGGAAATCATTCCACAATCTTTACCAATAAGTTGTAGCATTTCACAAATAATAAAGAAACGGAATCTGTGGACAGAAGAGATCGCTGACGCATTGAAAGGAAAAGATGACTTTGAATTCAAAACCATGGAGATTTTAACGACTAGCTACCACAGCGTCTTTCCCAAGATTACATAGTAATTCACAGATAATAAAGAAAAGGAATCTGTAGTGAGCCATGGCCTACAACGTCCTGAAGAAAGAAAAAAACTCTAAAATAAAACAAATCCGTAGAGAGACTAAGGGGAGACCACTCGATTACGTTTCCCAAAAATACACAATAATTTTTAGATAATAAAGAAAAGATTTGGAGAGGCATAATCGCTAACGTCTTGAAGGGAGAAAAACTACTCTGAATTCAAAACAGTTGAGATGGTAACGGGTAATTAATCCATCCTCTTTCCCAAGAATGCATAGCAGTTCAGAAATAATGAAGAAAACGAAACTGTGGAGGCCAATGACCTACTATGTTCCGTAGGAAGAAAGGGACCTCTCAAAATAATGAAAAAAACCCTTAGAGAAGCCAACCGGAAACCACTTCATTATCTTTCCTAAGAATTCATAGCAGTTAACATATAATAAAGAAAAGGAATCTGTGGAGAGTCATGATCGCCTATGTGATAAAGAGAAAAAAGTCGATTCTGAGTACCAAACCGTGAAGACGTCAATGGAGAACAACACCGCTATTTTTCCCAAGAAGTTGTATCAATTCATAGATAATAATAATAAGTATCTATAGTCATGATTGTCTACGTTCTGGAGAGAGAAGGCAGTTAAAATGCTTTGAGTTAACAAGGATCCTATTATAATTGTGCTTGTCCATCTCTTGGTTAGTTCGCACGACCGTTACGCCTTGCCAACACCTAATAAATAATAGACTATTCCGTTTTAATCTCATGGAAAGAGAGGGAAAAGACACTACTTGGTTTCAGTGAGAAAATGAATCAAAAAAGGAAGGAAGGAAGGAAGGAAGGAAGGAAGGAAGGAAGGAAGGAAGGAAGGAAGGAAGCAACAGCGGAAGATAGAAATGCTTAACGGGTCCTGTCAATATGTCATAAATATTCAGTTTTGAACGCGTGGAGTGAGAAGAAAAAGACGCTACTTGGTTTCAGTGAGAAAATAAAAGAAAAGAGAGAAGATAGAAATGTTTAACGTCTGTTTCTGTGAAATGGAAAATGTTGTCAATTTCAAATCTTTTCATTTGTACCCATAACGAACAGCATTCATATTTATGTTTGCTATGGCAATATTCTGTTAAAGTTGTTAAGATCAAATATTTAACGATGTGATAATGAATTTTTACTGATACTTTATTTTGGTAGATCTCGCCATGAGCTTATTCAATCGTTAACTTAAGAATTAAGATTCATCAGAATATTAAATTAGGAAAACCGTCAAATTTTCACGGTTGTAAAATTTTCACTTGTAAAATATTATTCTATTATTTATAGATGTATAATAGTTAGACAGGTGAATATATTTCATGTTTGAAGCTAAGACATTCTCTTTGCTCTAACTCTGAATGCTTAGGTTTAAAACTGACAAAATCATTTCCCAGGTATTTGTTGACCCATTTCAACTCAAACACTCGACTTATAGATGAGTATATCCGGCATAAAATCAGAGGCGACCTATTAATTGTTCTAATGCTGAAATGCTATGTCATATCTAACTTCCGATATAACAGTGTGAACAATTTCAGGACAAATAAAAAAAAAAAATATTGAGGCAACTGTAATGTGATTATGGCGATTTAGAATGCAAGTCTAAACCTTTAACAGCGGTGAATATAAATAGGGCCAGCGACCCGAGTTCAAATTCCAGCTGAGCCAGATAGTGTTCACTTTGTATTAGGTTGGTGCAAAAATAATGACGTAATAATGTCGTTTTTTGACGTAACGTCAAAAACGACATTATTACGTCATTATTTTTGCACCAACCTAATACAAATGTCTTTGTATCCATCTCTTCCCCTTCATTCAGGCTTTTACTTACATAGAAGGGCAGAATGGACTTTATCGCCTTTATCGGACTATGAAGTATGGGAAGCCGTTGGTATAAACCAATGTCTTTTGTTACCAATTATAGACATTTAAAAATATTTGTAGAGATGCCATAATTGATTTTGTTTAGGTTGGGTTTCAACTGTTTGATGTATAATGCTTCAAGGATTTTTAGTTTTTATCTATTGTTCTTCATAGTTCTACAATTCACTCTCGTGTGAGATCATGTGTGACGTCATGAGATGCGGTGCGATTTTCGCTTCTAGCGTCTTATATGCACGTGTTTATCGAAACAATGACAGAATATCATCACTGTCGTGTCCGTATATTGCTTAATATGTTGTAATTGACATCTTTGATAATGGCGTATGTAAGCCGAAAGCTTAGATTGTATTAAAAAAATATGGATCAATATTGTGAATTTCTTTCTTCGTTCAACGATAATGTTATTAAACTTATCAGACGTTACGAAAAAAAATTACATAAAATAAATAGACAACACTATATTATTTAATGAAACGTGCATGAATGAAAAGATGCTGCCTAAATACACACACTATATATATATATATATATATATATATATATATATATATATATATATATATATCTTCGTTTAATGATTATGTTATTAAACTTATCAGACGTTATGAAAAAAAATTTCCATAAAATAAATAGACAACACTTGTCTATATTATATAATGAAACATGTATGAATGAAAAAATGCTGCCTAAATAAACACAATATATATAGATATATGTTTGAATTGTTTTTGGCGGCTTATCAATCTTTTATAGATTATTTAATGATTAGACTGTAAAAATTATAAATCCTACTAATTAACCCATAGCTGAGGGGAAAAGAGGTAGCTTCATACCTTTCCCAAGGATATATTCGCGAAAGTGAATATAACGAACCGAACTGGAATTGAATTGATTCGTTTTCTACGGCTTATCAACCCATTTCAGGTTATTTAAAGCCAGAAAATATTTTTAGATTGTAAGATTTCTTTTTTGAGATAATAATAATTTAGTGATACAAATCCTACTAATTAACCCATAACTGGGGGGATAGGTGGATCCATACCTCTCCCAAGGTTATTTGCGCGTAAGTGAATATAGCACACCCAACTGGAATTGGAATTTGTTCCACGATTTCCAATTCCGAGCCGTTATGAAGTACACCACCGCACATCCAAACAATTGGTATTCGCAAGTAGTCACCTACCTAGGTACTAACCAGGCTCAGTGTTGCTTAACTTCAGTGATCCTACGATAACCGTGATATGGCCGTAAGCCATATCATCCACACATCGAAGCTTACAGCAGCTGGTATTCCCATGCAGTCACCCATTTAGTTACTGGTCATACTCCGTGTTGCTTAACTTCGGTGATCGTACGAGAACGTGGTATGACCGTAAGCATTTATATATAATTCATATAATAGAGAAATCCGCTGCTCGGCTTTGTAAGATCGTTGTGTACATACGATGGGGGAATACTTCGAAGAAGACGGTAGAAACTAAAGTGCTAGAATAATTTTTTTCTTCATGGTCAACTTTCCTGGATGTCTGGGTAGCGCTACGTGTGCATATGTTTAAATTTGATATAATTCCAAAATAATACATAAAAAGAAAAAAACATGTTTATTTTTAAAAGAAGACTAACAAAAATGTACTAACCACTGATTATTATTAAGAAATCTTTTTTTTATTTTTCTAAGGGCATAGACAATATATTTTACTTACCACTGCTTGAAACGGAGTTTCGGGCCACACGGCGGACACAGAATGGCACAAACCCACCACTAACAGGAACAGACAAAAGACATTCATCCTCGATGTCTCACATTTGAACTGACTGTCAAGGTCTTGTTGGATCCGAATATATAAACACCGGAAGTGTCCACTTGAACATAAATGGAGAAGAGCAGAAAAATTCTATAAACAGAAAAAAAAAAAAAAAAGGTTTGGTATGGTTTAGTTTTTTTTTCCCGGCATTTCAAACTTAATGGGTTGTTTAATGCCGACAAGATTTTTATTGCTGGTAATATTTTTTCAAAAAATTATTGCTGGTAATATTTTTTTCAAACAAGTATTCCTGGTAATATTTTTTTTTCAAAAAAAGAATTGCTGGTAATACTTTTTCAAACAAGTATTGCTGGTAATATTTTTTCAAAAAAGTATTGCTCTAATATTTTTTTCAAACAAGTATTGCTGGTAATATCCCCCCCACCCAAAAAAAATTGCTGGTAATAATGTATTGCTGATAATAATTTGTTGCTGGTAATAATTTTTGAAAAAATGTATTGTTGATGTTAAAACCTATTTTTACACGTTTTGACCCAAGTTTGGGTGTTAAATATTTGCCCATAGCTGAGACCCCAACAGGTGCTACCACCCCAAGTCACGCTGGACCTGGAAACACCAGCAATTAAGAAGTGAAAACCTCCTGATTGCAGTTAGATGTCGTTTATCGTCTTACCCAGGACGCCCTATTAGGGGGTACCATTCTGCTTGAGGTGCAGTAGGCGTATTCTACAGCCCCGGCCGACAGGGCGGCAGAAAAAAAGAAGAAAATCAAAATAAAACAGAACAAAAAACGATAACAAATTGATGTGCGTGTAGCGCAGAGCTTATCCACGGGGAAGGTGGGATTAGCGAGTCGTTTTCAAATTTGAACCGAAGCAATTTGCGTTCGGTTTCATACGAATACTTTTGGAAAGGTATGAATCTATATCTTCTCCAGCTATGGGTTAAATAGCAGAATAGACTCGGCACTCTAGCTTTGCTTGGAAACTAGACTTGGCGAAGGAAAAGATAGAATTCAAAACCGGCTAGGCATGGTGCTAGTAATTCGTAACAAATTTATATGCTATGGAAACTACATCGGCAACGCTTAGTGTAGGGATGCCTCACACCTATGACCCACGGGCGTGTCTACAGTCTTAAAAATTACAAATAAAAAGATACGTAAACATTTAACAGATTTAAAAAGAAATAGGAAGAACCTCTCTCTCTCTTTCTCCCTCTTTCTCTCTCACACACAGCCGCACGCATGTATGCATTATTAAGTTGGAATGAAGACGCTATTTAGATCAGTGATTCTCAACTGGTGGGCCGCGGCACATTGATGTGCCGTGAGAGGATAATAGGTTTGCCACGAAAAGTTTTAAAGGCCCTCAAATTGTTTTCGAAAGAAGTCCAAAGCGTAATAAGTGTACGTATCAAAATTAAAACCCCTTTAACTTGATTATACGAATATATCATTGTCATAATAACTTTAACTTGATTATACGAATATATCATTGTCATAATAACTTTAACGTGATTATACGAATATATCATTGTTATAATAACTTTAACTTGATTATACGAATATATAATTGTCATAGTAACTTTAACTTGATTATACAAATATATATCATTGTTATAACTTTAACTTAATTATACGAATACATCATTGTTATAACTTTAACTTGAGTATACGAATATATCATTGTCACAATAACTTGAACTTGTGTGACGTCCCTACAGCCTTCGCTCGCTCCTCGCTGCTTCGTTCGGGTGTCGCCGCTCCAAACGTGACGTCCGCCTGTCTGCGTCAGTCGTGTTGTCTCGTCCTGTGACGACCAACTGGCTTGGTATCGGTCGCGGCACCCAAATATGACGTTCTAACCTTTTGGGTGATTCGGATGGGAATCTGGTTAGATTCGATATCAGCCTCGTCGTTCCCAACTCGCTTCCAACGTCTGGTTACCAAAGTAACTGCGTTGACCTCCAGTCCGCCTACCCACGTTGTGAATTGATCTTAGGCAGACGAAATCAATCAGTCGTTGGGGCCGTAATGCAAATTGAGTTCAAATGAGGGTGGTATCGCACAAATATGTGTAAAAGAAAATAAAATAATAACTCAAAAGTTCAAGGTATAAAAAAAAAAGGATAATAATACTTTATATCTGGTTGCTGGATACATAGGACTGTGTCTATCTCCCGACCCGCTACATGGATTGTGACACGTTGTTTTTGTTAGGTGAGTTTTAACATCTTAAGTTGTCTGTTCTTTAAGAAACTGGTTCTTGGTGTGTCTTCAGGCGATAGTCGTAAAACTTATTTTGGTGGTCTAGATCTAAGTCGCTCTTCAAAAATAAATTGTTCTTGGATTGAAGGTGAGTTCGGAAGTTGCGCGAATCTTTCAAGTCAGCTAATGCGAGGCCCACTTCAACTGCGAATTGGAAGCTGATCCGAACTGGACTGAACTGGGAAACTCTCTCATTTTCGCTTGCTGCGACTTTGCTTATATGGACGCCGACCAAAACCGGGGTGGGCTTTGTTGGGGTTTGAGGTTCCTTGGTAATTCCAAATCCACAATCCCCTTCTTTTGTTTTCGGTCAGGAAAAATTTATTATTTCCATTTTTGGAAGTCTTCTCTTACCCCTACCTTCAGAGGGCGTCAACGATCCTCCCATTTCTTCGCAGTAACATCTTATACCTATCCTCTTGAAGGAGTAGTGGCAGGCCTCCTCCCCTGCATCACATGATCACCTCCGCCTGGCTCTTGTTAACATTCATCCAATGGCCGATCAACAGTGTGGGCGTGACCAGACTAGCCTTGTTTCTTAAAAAAAATATCTTGCTCAAAGAAAAAAAAGAATTATCTCCTCTTTTTTCTTTTTCTTTCTATTTCCTTTCCTTCTTTTCTTTTCTATTCTCTCTTCTTCTCTGGCCGACAACAGAACAATGCGACCAGTAGTGTGATAACCTCAATTCTCATCTGGACTTCGTCAGTCAGATTTTCGCCAATTATCAGAGTGGGTGGTCGTCCAGCAAATACGGCCAACTTTTCCGATGATATTGTTTCGCCCTTATCGCCTTTCTAACAAAACCCAGACCTTCTCTAACGATATCTTTCGCTCGACAATGACTTAACCTATTTTCCTTTGTTTTCTTTAGCTCGTGGGTGGTCGGCAGTCCCGTGACACAGTTAAATGTTTATCTATTCTGTCCCGGAGTTTAGCTAGCCGATCTGGAATTTGTCAATTAGATTTTCGCCAGCACCAAGTGGCTGTTATCTATTCCCGATAATATAAGTCCGCCACCACGACACAACAATTTTTATCTATTTAGAATTTTCTGCAATGGCAATGAAACCTTTCACCATTTGTCACTATCAAAATTTCATTTCTTTCTCTTCTTTTCTTCCTTTTCTTTGCTTCCCAAATGGTGTCACACTTGATTATACGAATATATCATTGTCATAATAAAGAAACGTATGCATGATATATAAAGTAAACTAAAAACAAGCTTTTCTGAAATAAACAATATTAAAAATACGGCTAGAAGATTTTAGAGTATGTCTGGCCCAAATTCCATTTTGCAAACAAGATATTCTAAAAGAAACGCCAAGCTTATATATCTCATTAAATGTTAAATTATAATAAACAGAAAAAATAAATATAAGATTATTTCGGCCAGTTATGTGCCATGCGTGATACACGCTTACGCATCTTTCGAGGAGGCAGATTTTTCCTGCAGTAGGTTGCCAATTCCTTCTGCGGTAGACCAGTTGCCATCCAAGGCTATGAAACCGGGCTTGTTCTGCTATTTACCCATAGATGGAGCAAGAAGATTCATACTTTTCCCAAGGGTAATAGAACGTAAGTGAATACGACTAGAATTTGAACTCGGCTCTCCGATTCCTCAATCCGAGCCGCTATCCATTACGCCATCGTGCACCCTCAGTTTTTTTGAGAATGTTAAATATATTTTTTTTATTACAAATTATAAAAAATTGTTCTGTTTGTGTTAATAAATAAATAATAAAAAAGTATACTGTTTCTTTTTTACTTTTTTTGATAATCCTAATTTAAAGTGTGCCGCCGAATTTTAATTTTATGTTCAAGTGTGCTGCGAGATAAAAAAAAAAGTTTGAAAAACATTGATTTAGATATTTGTATATAGATTTACTTAGCCAAATACGCGCCATTTTGTTCCACCATTTTTGGGGTAGATTTTTGATTTCCTCCTCTAAGACGCTGACATCGTTCTGATTGGTGAACCGGTCTAAGTGGTTTTCACTGACTTCCAGAGAATTAAAGATCTTTCCATTAAGAGAATTTTGGAACAAGTGATAACCCGAAGGTGAAAGAACAGATGAGTCCGGTGGATTGTCGTAGGACATCCCAGCCAAACTGTTTCGAATTTCTTACGGGTTTGCAAAGGTCAGTCATCGTACTGATGGAAAGCGGCACCATTCCAACTGGTCAATCCCAGGTGGTTTTCTTTTGATTTTTGCATTTAAGTGATCGAAATGGTAACAGTACTTGTCTGAATGTAATGTCTGATTTTACGAATGAAGCTCATAAAACAGTGACTTTCCAATGCTACCAGATATACAGCATTACTATCTTCATTTACAGACTGGCTTGGAGAGTGATAAACGGGGACACATTTCGCTTGACATTGTTGTAAACAATTCAATTTTCATTGCCTATGATTGTCCTTGCGCAGAGAATGTGGTTCATTACTTCTTTTTTCGTTAACTCGTGAGGTATGATTTAACGTACCATAACGATTCCCGTGTCTAAGTTCTTTACAATGCTCTAATGAGATAGGTGGAAGATGTTTCCGATATTCCGTATAGTGTGACCTGGATCATTTTAATGGATTATTTTTAAAGTATTTTGGTAAGCATCAATGGATGCAGGTTTGTTCCAACGTTCTCGACCTTATATATCTATATTTTCACTTCTCAATCTACCATGCCGAATACAAACGATATATATTAGCTATGGCACCATCTCCATAAATGGCACACATAATTATTGATGTTTGTA